AACGCCCCGCCCCGCCAGACCCCGGTCCCGGTCCCATTGACCCACTTGTAGGAGACGCGGCCGGGATGGCGGGGAAAAGCTGGCGTCCCCTCACGTCCCCTCACGTCGCCCGCGTCGCGTCGACACGAGCCCCCCGGGAGGGCCTAAGACCCGGGGGAGGCTCCCGCTGCGCAGACTGCTGTCGGACACCCGCGACCGGCTGTCCAGAAATTATTCTTCGCTAGTTGAGCTACTCTGGATGGGAAAACAAAGGAGCTCATCGGAACGCCTAAGGAGGGGAGCTATATGGAGTTTTCGGTGGCGCCAATGGTTTGTTGCAAAGACATACTATCATTTGTAAGGGTGCTAAATTTAGCACCTGCAAAATTATCAAAACTGAAAAAAAATGTGGGCCCTACCCACCCCGCTTTGACACGGGGACCCGCCTGTTTAACTTCGGAGTTCGGTATGGGATCCGGTGTTTTCAGGCACCCAGCTGAGGGCCGGGTTTCTTGACTATCTCGCTCACACCGGAGTTTACAGCCGTCGACTAGGTTCCCACCAGTCCGCTTGACCGGGAATGGGGGGTAGGGCGGAGGGAGTTAGAAAGAGAGGAGACGGGCGTACGGTGGTTAGCCTGTACTGCACCCAGATGCGATCCGAGCGGAAAGCTTCCGAGTCGTGGAATCCCTTCGAGGAGCCAGATTCTAAGGACTTATCAATTCCACACGGGTTACCACTCCCGCTGTGGCTGGGATGGCTCTTGACCCGGCACGCTTTCGCCGGGGGTCGAACCTTTGCCCCTAACGGGACCCCAGTGCCGAGTCATCGTCACCCCCAGTCCAGTGGGGCAGCGTTAACCACCAGACCGTTCGTTCATCCACAAAGGTGCCCCGTTGAAATGACGGGTTTAAGTTCAACTCCAAGAGTTTGATCGGTTCAGAAAAATGTAGTTGGGATCGGAGATTCGAACCCCTGACTTGTGGCGCACGGGTGCCGACTCTCTACCGGCGCGGCTACGACGCCACAGTGTGAGTTGCCGGGCGAGCTAGGCTCAAGGCACGAGTCAGCGCAGTAGCTTGAGCGGGAGAAGAACCGGTTCCATCCCCACACCCTCTCACCTGACGTTTCGAGACCGGCCTCCTGGCTCTTTGATATCGCTGCAATGTTTGAACTGTGAATCGGGGGTTCTAATACTCGCCGTCAAAGTATTCGTTTTGGGGTTTGATACGTTTTGGTACTGTATCAGAAGCTCGACTAGTACACACCGTATGCGATAGAAAGTCAAGCTGCAGATCTTCGTGTGTTTCGGTGTTATTCGTACTTTCAATATTTTCCCAGTAGAACGAGCTCCGGCCAAGGAGGTATAGAGCGTCGGGGTCGGGGTGAGCAGCGTGGGCACAGCAGGGAGAAGAGGAGGTGGTAGTGGTGGTGGTGGAGAGAGCATTGGGATCCGGATGGGATGCGGAGGCTGGGTGGAGGGGGGGG